ACGGAACCAATACTTCACGTCTCGAGTACTGAATCTCATCGGAATAAGAGATCATTCCTCTTGAGTCCGTTGCAATCAAATTTGGATGAAATCCTGAATATACGGCGACAGAGGCGAAGGGCTCAGAGATACAAACGAAACGCCAATTACGAGGACTTATTGGCCTCTATCTTATCACAAGACGACACCGGAAAGTATGACAACTCGGACGCCAACGACGCTCTCAACACCATTGCTATGAATTACATCTTAAATAACATTAACTCTTATGACTCGTCGGATAACAACAAGTACTCGGATTTAGAGAAAATCAAAGAGTATTACGATTACATCCTTCCGCTCATCAGCGACACCACGGACTCCGATGCCGACGACTCGGTCACCGAAGACTCGCCCATCGGTTACGACGGTTACAGCGGATCCTCAATACCGGTCATACCGTACTCGTGGCCCAACCGCTACCAACGGATTAGGCGTTCCTATTATAATAGATACCAAAACCCCCTCTCCGTCTACACGGGCCTCAAGCGTAAGCGAGGGTTCGGTAGCTACGGGTCGCGGGGCGAGTGGGGGCGCATAGTGGGCGCCAACAGCGAGAGGTCCGCCTACGACGACGAGGCACAGGAGGCCAACAAAATCTACTCATTGGCCACCCTTTTAGCCCAGGATTACTCCCCGGAAGTCGCTTACGGCAGACGCTATAAACGGTCGGCCAAACCTTATAAACGGTCGGTGCGTTCAGCGAAAGCCGCGCTTAAGAATATGTGATACAGTTTTTATTGCTAAGTCTGGCACTCATTATAGTCATAATACTGGCGATACAGATACGGATCTTAAGAAGTATTTTATCTGATTTTTGTTCTCAAATGTATTACTCGTTTTTTGTATTATTATTATAAATATCAGGTATGGCCTCAGGACGGGGAAGGGCTGTAAATATAACGATAAATCTTATGATTTTTGGGAGATATAAATTTTTTCAAACAAAAAACAAATTCATTTTTATTCGCAACCGCTAGAGAATGACTTAAAAATATTTTTGTTATACCGATACAAATGTATAGAAAATGTGTTGATTTAGTGAGTGATATCAAAATGTCTTATTGAGTACGGAATGACTTTTTCTCATAATATCCACAGACTTTGCGTGTGTCTAATGAAAGGCTTTTGAAATGATATTAGTTATGAAACGAAAAATATTATGAATAACTAACTTAACACTCGCATTGAGTATAGAATTGAATGCTATTTCTTAAGAGATCATTCACTTCTATATCCCCAAAAGGCCGGCCATCGCTGATAAATATTATATATAATTGACAATTCATTTCTAATTAATATTTATTCAATTCAATTACCAAAGGATTTGCACACTATTTGAATAAATTAAATATCATTTTCTGTTTAAACCATTAACTGCTTTTAACTTATATCTACAAATATATCTCATAAAATAAAATAATCGATATTTTAATTGTTTGTTATTCTTGATTATGAAGACTATATTTAAAAATAACTTATTATTATTATAAATGGGATTCCGATTCCGTATTGAGATTTTTATTGATAATTATTAGATCTCTTATAGTGTTTATAAAAATTGTTGTGAGACTAACATAAAAAATAAAAAGTTTAAATATATTTATAATAATAATTTAAATATATACCTAGAAATTATAGTGGATATCATGTTGTAATCAATAAAAATTGTAGTGATTTTAGGTTAACATATCTGTTATAATAATATATGACTATATAATACATATCTCTTATATGATATAAAAATTATTATTTTTAAAAGCAAATAAATTGTTTTCCATTATATATGATTAGAAGTTGTAATCGAAATTTTGAACAAAATTCATTCAATAGAGTGTAACAATAGATTATTATTAGACATTTACTGTATGTTTCGCTTATTTAACTGTAATATTTCTGATTTCTGTTGCATTTAATTGCGATATTATGAAAAAGAAATAAACAATTTTCAACAACAAAAAACTGTTTCAAACTTCTTTGAAAATCAATACCCAATTCAATAATTTGGCACAAAATAAGTATTGACTTTAATTTTAGGCGAAAATAAATCTCAAACCAAAGTTGGATTGAATTGTATTTGCAATGAATAGTAGTGTTATTTTTAGAATTAAATTATCATTTTATGCCTTTAAGTGTTTGGCAATTGTATTGCATTTTCCAATTCTAGACACTTAACAATAACTGACAGTTTTAACAATAAGTATTTAGATATCAATTGCAACTCATAAGCCCTGTATGTATTATCATATAACATGTCTCTCGGAAAAAACGCCACTATTATTATAATACATATTCATGTAAAACAACTTTTCATTATTTACTTCAATGTCAACAACTAATTCCCCGAATATTTAATTCCAAATAACATTTATATATATATTATATATAATACATTTGAATAACTATTTTGTTGAGCAGTACTATTCGGGATACTATTGAGATAGTGAGTGGTCTATAGTGTGAGAAACACAGGGATATTGTTTGGCGTACGAATAAAATTGAAAAACTAATTTCATTTCATTGCAATCAATAGTGGTATTCATGTCTTCAAAACAAACACAAGGATAGAGTTAAACGAATTTATGAGAAAAAATCGTGAAAAGAGTTTTCTTTCAATACGTTTGGCCCCCAATTGGCCCTCATTTGGCGCAACACTTATGAGGAATTAGATCAACATCTCTCTCGCCAAAGATAAGGGACTGGGAGTCCAGTGCATACAACAGCTCCTCTCTCCCATCACCTCTAATGCTAATCGCGAGCCTACCTGTGCTCTGAAACGCCGATTCCAGCACCAGATTGACAATAATAAAGGCAATCATATAATATATAATAATTATGTGAATGAATGTGATGTTTGTGGAGTGAATAGCGAGAAAGAGAGGCCTGTTTTGTGGGTCACTATTACATGAGAGACCGAGAGAGCACTCGGAGGTTCAACACTCATTCATTCACTCACTCGCTATCCGTGCAAAATGTTTGGGCGCCTGGAGTTTAGGGAAGTACTGTCAGCGCCGCTCGTAAATTGGGATAATATTTCTCACAGTTTTTAATAAGCTCTTCGTTAATATGTTTTTGAGAAATGCTTTCGATTTGAAAGTTTTGTTTTGAGGACTAAATCAATAAATAGTTTTTTAGTTGTTTTGCTTTTCTCGTTAATCGACACACAATATGAATCAACTTTTGTTTGATTCAAATCATTGCATTGAATTCATTTGTTTCATAATCTTTACGTTCATTTCGCTGTCATTTGCGGTAAGTTTTTAATGTTTAAAATGCTAAACATTTTTTTCACAATAAATTTCTATTAATATTATTGCGGAATATATAATATCAATAAATTATATAACTAGCCGGAAAATCCATGTAATATTTATTATTTTATAAATTCCCCTAAATTGATGTATTTAATAAATACTTGATAAACTCACTTATAAATAATTGAAGTTTAATAAAAATTTCCAGATATCCTATAAGCTATTAGAGAAAATAATACAATAAAATTATTTTTATATCAAAAAATAAAGTCAAATTACTTTTAAAATGATTTCCCACTACACATTTACAATCGCTTTAATGCAAAAAGAATTCATATTTATGATGACTTTGCGTATGCATTGTATATAGAAAATAAAGTTAATAATAATAAAAAGCCAAAAATAAAAGTTTATGGCACTAAGTGTTTTATTAATATTATTAATTCCCTGACAATCATCTCATAAAACTCATTGTATAGTTAGACTTGCTGCAAAAAATATATTGAGCTATTATTATATAATGTACTCAATTCTGCACTAAGATCGCAAATAAGAGGCATAAAAAGGTATTAGCAAAAACCTTTATTAAAATTCAAGTTAATATTAAATCAGTAATTGCAAAAAAAATCGTGATTTATTGGCTAATATAAAGCCTAAGAATAACNTGATTTTCTCCAAATCCGAGTACTTGTTGTTATCCGACGAGTCATAAGAGTTAATGTTATTTAAGATGTAATTCATAGCAATGGTGTTGAGAGCGTCGTTGGCGTCCGAGTTGTCATACTTTCCGGTGTCGTCTTGTGATAAGATAGAGGCCAATAAGTCCTCGTAATTGGCGTTTCGTTTGTATCTCTGAGCCCTTCGCCTCTGTCGCCGTATATTCAGGATTTCATCCAAATTTGATTGCAACGGACTCAAGAGGAATGATCTCTTATTCCGATGAGATTCAGTACTCGAGACGTGAAGTATTGGTTCCGTGCGACTGGAGTTGACGGATGAGTCGTTTTCACCTGATTTTCGAGAAATTTATTTGAATTTATTTGTATACTATTATTGAATTTGAATTCATGAATAGATATGAGATTTATTTGTGACATTTATATTCAAATCCTATTTCCAAAGTAGAGTAAGATTTCTATCAGATTTCTACGAGACTTAAAGTATTTTTCCAATCTTTTCATTAAATCTCTGAATGAATTGTATTATTATTTTAATGATTTTGTGCACTAATTGACTACTAATTAGTATTATATGATACAATTCCGGCTCAACTACTACTCGCAAAACAAGAATACAATTAAAGGGATATTTAAATTGAATGCATTTTTGTGTGTATCAAACGTGTAATCCTTTTAATTAAATGCAAACATCTCTTACTTTTAATGAGAAGAGGATTTGCAATCATTTGATTGGTTTGATTCCCGTCTCCGTTAACATCATATACGGTATGATTAGTGTTGTCTGTATTGCTTATATTGTCGGCCAATACGGGCAACGGTCTCACCTCCGGTGCCATTGTATGACTCAAATCAGATGTGATATCATTTCCGACTATAGCCTCAATCGCCGGTCGATTGATCTGATCGGCACTCAATCCGTTCAACTGATTCACAGCTATATTGCCATTAATTTTGTCATTTAAGTCGCTCTCTATCTGCTGTAACGTATCACTCGTTTGACTGATCACTGAATCATTGTGTTTAGTAGTGTTTAATATATCATACGATTCTTGAGTCCTATTCTGTTCACTGATTACTATGTCTGACAATGAGTTATGTGTAGTTGTGTTGAGACCTAAAAATGAGTGCAAATATTACTTGTTTAGCGATAAAAGTATGTGCGAAAGAATAATTATAATTTATAATAAGATTTATTTAGCATTTATTATCATCACTCATGAGTGGACATTAATATTCAAAAATGAAGACAACACACAAAAACACATGATATGATACTATATTTAGTTTTTATACTGTAGTTTATAGGTTCAGATGAATGATTGCGGTGCAAAAAATAAATCATTTCATTATTTTAGTTTTTGATTTTCAAAACTCATTGTTAAGTATAGTGTTTACTATACGAGAAAAAGCCGATTATTTTTACTCGAAAAAATAGTTATGTGTATAGTATTATATAACATGTATTACACAATCGTTTTCTCAAAGACCTACGCTATAAATGATGAGTTATAAAGTTTTTTATATGTGTTTATCGATTGGCATAAATCGATATTAAATATAAAGTTAAGAAAACAATAATTTTCTGTTTAGAGACCATACGACTTGAATGTCATTGAAAAGTGCACTGAAAATCAATGGATGTACAAATGGTAGATGTTAGTTGTTTTCCTATTGTTTCCCATTGTATAACAATTTCGTTTCAATTGCTATAAAAATGGTTTTAATGTCTGTATTTCATGAATAATTGGTGGCAATCATTGCTCAACACAAACGCGTTTCGCTAATAAAAACATTTAATGATAGCTTTAAAACACAAGTTATGTATTGATTAAACAACACATTTACACACGAAATGCATTTAGGTTTTCAATTATACGACCAGTGCTTCACCAAAACAAACAATTAATTAATTTTTATTAAAAATGCATTAATTGAAGCGAAAAAGTCGTAGACTTTTATTGTGCCTAATGTTACATATTATGGTATTAATGAATATAAATATGATATTTTTCTGATTAAATTATTTTCTCTTTCTACTTATATTTAGTCATTTGTAAAAATATAATTTGTTTTTCTTTTTGCTATATTTGAGTTTGAAATTCTTATGTAATATCATGAGTGGAAAAACATATAGTTTTGTTTCTTTAACTCATTTGGGACTAAAAGAAAAGTACAGTATATATATACAGTATATACGGTATATTTTAATGACATTTTCATCTAATATCAGGTTTAATGTTTTGAAACAAAATGACAATAAATTGAATCATTGAATTGTATGGTATATGGGTAGTCCGGTGGCTATTATTAGTATCTGTATAAAGTAATTTGCCATACCTTCACATGAATTCCATAAGTTTTTCTAGGAATTCAATAGATATCTGATTTTTGGCAAACTATTTATGAGTAGGTTTTTCATGTGTCATTCATTTTTGTAGAAATTGTTGTCTCATAAGGAATATAATAGACAATTGTCTACTGAAATGATTTAATCATTTGTCCGAAAATGGACTGAAATTTTTACAAAAATACTATAAATTCTTTAAAAATAACTAAATATTTAATATTTATACTTCAATAGCAAAATATTTTTTGATTTATTATCATATTTTACGCTTAAGTGCATTTGAAAGGCTTAAAAGTTATAATATTTATATTTAACCTGAATCTCTATAGTATACTTAACTTTGTGATATAAAATTTCTTAACATAATTTCTATTAATTCAATTAAAAGTTTTTGTAATTAAATAATGTTCATGGCAAATATAATTTATATTTTATAGCACTTCGTAGCAATTGTTACAAGCTTTTAGTAGTAAATTAAATTTATACCATTTGATGACATTTTCATACAAAACTATTAAAGCAAACATAAAGTGCTTTAATTTCGCAGCGAATTAATCAAACAAAAAATGCTCATGAAATACAATTTAAGCACAAAAAGTTGTAATTAATTTAAATAATAAAACAAATGAGTACAAAAAAACCGCCTTTCCCATTGCACTACAGGCATAGTGTTTAGAGCGAAGTAATCGATAATTTATTTTTATGTCTCTATTGTAAGGACTGAACTACAAGTATATTATTCTGTAGTATTATTCTATGCCATAAATTCTTTACCTTATAGTCAATAGGTATGGAAAGGGGGGGTTAAACAGGGTATAGAATATTCTCCATTAGAAATTGGATACTATATTAGCGTGTACTTTAAAAATGTATTTAAAATATACTTAAAATGCTCTCTCCTAACCCTAATTGAAAAGCATTTTGAAGTCATATTTAGTTCACTAAATACTTCAATAAAGCCGTCAAAGTGTGTGTGGGTTGTGGCCATCCTCTGATCCATTTAAACCTCTTTTTTATGTGTGACTCGGCTTTCAAAAACATTTTAATGCATTAGAATTTATGGTTTGAAAACGTTGTGTGAATTCTGTGACTCCATTCTTATAGGAATATTCTTTAGAGTGAGACTACAAGTAAATATATTTATCTCGTTTTTGATAATAGATTTTTGTAACAAAATACATGTCAAAATCGGTATTTGATATATACTTTTCATGATAAACGGGATGTGTTTTAATAATAGATGGCTATTATTAGTTGTGAAACACAAGTTTTATTATTAATATGATATCCTTTTATTATAATTAATCTTTATTTAACTAATGTTATATAAGTAAATGTACGTTATATTAAAGTTGTATAATATTATAAAACCGATAGGCATACAATTGGTTGCTAAATAATAAAATATTGAATGAAAAAACATATTCAATGCCTAATCAATTGTTATTTTAATAAAAGGTCGATAAATTTATTGTGTTATATATACTCCTTTTAATAATATATATTTAAAACCTGTATAATTTTTGCTAAGAACATTGAATAATTGTTGAAATAAAATGTTACTAAATACGAGCTAGTATACCAGTATAAAGTAGGCTGAATATATTTTTAATGATTAATAATTTCATACTATCCATATGAAATAGACTTTTAATAAAATATTTTAGAGATTCCCTGATGAATGCTATATTTAAACATTAATATTGAATGTTATGTTATATAATTTAGTAATATTTTATGATAATACGATTTTTTCGGAAAATTTTTTCGCTTTTCATATGCTAACTGATCTAAAATCTGATAAAATTTAATTTAAAAATATTTAAAACATATCTAATGAATAAAATATTGAAATTTAGAAACTGAAACCATAGTAAGAGATAGTCTGGCATTTGGTCTAATCTTTGCCAACGGCTTGTCAAAGGAATCTAAACATAATGTCTGAACACATATTCATATGAAATAAGGCCTCATTCACAACGTATGGACACATTCTTCGGTAGAGATGTTAAGAATATACGAATTCATTAATTTCTATAAATGTGATAATTTTTATATGAAATGAAAATAATATAAAAATAGCATTAGTATTAGTGGTCAAAGAATTGACATTTTTGATTAACTCTCAACTAATTCTTGTGGCAATTAATGAAAAGAGGTGGAGTGGGAGTGGGAGTGGGAGTGGGAGTGAGACCATTTTGGATACAATTGTGTGTAAATACTTAGCCAACGGGCCTAATGTGGTACATATGTACTAACAGTTCTATAATTTGTAGTTTACTCTGTTATTAGATTTCAATATACCCTTTAATATTTAATACAGCACTACTGAATTCAATTGTATATAACAAGACTTGCAAACATGTATATTATACATTGTATATGACTGTCAGTTAATCCTTAAACTGATATTTTATATACTGTACAGTACAGGGCACTGACAGCTCTTACTGTATTTATTAATCCTCTTTACTCTATACTAGAAGTCATTTCTAGATTTAGCCTTTGTTACGTAAATAACTGAAAAATTTAATGCAATCCATAGTTTTATCTGGATAATAATAACAATCACATACCTATAGCTCCAGTGCCAGTGTCGGTAATCTGCTCGACAGTAGTTGTTTGAGAAACGGTTGTATTAAGCGTTTGGCTTGAAGTGGATGTAGCGGTCGGTATGGATGCGATTGGAGAGAGACTTATCAAAGAGAAAAGTAATCCCAACGATAGGTAATGAAAAAGTGTGCAGTTTTTCCTTCGATACATCTTTTCTCTACATTTCTGTAAATATGATTTTCGAGAGAAATTAAAGTTTAGTTTTGGTATATGAACTATATTTCTTAAATATTTTGGTCTAAGAAAACAGTTTTTGGTTATTATTTTGTACTTAAATATTCACTTTGAGAGAATATGTTCAGTAATATTCTGTCAAAAGTGTTTTGCAAACAGAATATTCCTAACACACAATTTTGTCATATTCTCGACAGTTATTCCTTACATTTTGTGTGTGAAAATGAATTTTAGTTTATATTTGAATAAATAGTGGTATAGACAATAAATAACCATAATGTAGAGAAAATATATAGAAAAATAGAGACATTTGTATGAGTTTAATGTATTCGTATGGAATACACTGATTGAATAAATAAATAATATTTCAATTCTAATATATAATGTATTCTGTGTTTTGAATAATGCATTCCTATATGTATTCAAGCAAAATGTTATTACTTTATAGGCCTGTCATATAAAATTTTAAATATTAGCTATTCACATAGAAATCAAATGAAAACGTTAAGTTTTTATTTTGAAATTATTAAAATTAAAACGTTTTCAATTATAATGAATTCATTTTAACGATAGCGATAGTGATATTAAATATGCATTTAATTTTAAATTAAAATTAAATATACATTATAAACATTTGCCAAAATTTCCTTAATCTCCGAAAGTTTTCCTTAATTTTATTTCTAAATTCTTGTAATTAAAGAATTTATTGTCTTTTAAGTAATATTAATAAATCTTTCGCAGAGAGAGAGAGAGAGAGAGAGAGAGAGAGAGAGAGTTTCTGATGGCAAACAAATGTCACGATTTTCGCACATAAATCATTTGATAGCAATCATTAATTTTTGTCCTTCTCTTGGATTTCTTGTAATTCTTTCTTTCCTTTTGCTCTCAAAATCAAAGACTTATTCCCAGAAGTGTTGTCTTCTCTCTACTTATATATAGAGAACTCGTTTTTACTTTACAATACATCTCAATAAATAGCGCAAAAACTTAGTCCTTAATGAGGAATATGTTTTTGTAATACAAAAAACACAGATTTAATCATATGTTGTGTGAAATGACTCTAAAAGCATATAATTATGGTTTTGCGTTCACTGAATGCATATAAAGGGAATGAGTTCTCTATAATAATTAGTTTTTTTATCCCTAAAAATGATTATATTTTTTAGTTTTTGATTAATTCACATTCAATTTGAATGCTTATGAAACGGATATTCATTTATTTGTTTGACTTGATGCTAATGAAATGCGACTGAGTTTGATATTAAAGACATAAAAGTGAGTTATTTTAAGTAATGATCTCATAAATATTTTCACAAATAGTTGTAAATTATTCATTTGATAAAATATTATATATTTAAATTCTGTATAAAATTGCGATAAACTAAACGAGAATTTTATTTAATACACGAGATTCAGTGAATGCAAAATCTCGTATAAATTCTTATGAATAAATTATTCTAAAATTTATAAAAGAATTAGAATTTTAAACAGAATTTGTATAAATAATAATACAATATATACACACATAATATGCTTACCATTTGTTTTATTAACGATGTAAAAGTGTCCGAAATTTATATAAATGATTAACAATTGTCTCGCAATTTAAACAAATGTTACAAACGATTTATAATTTATATTAATTTTGTTGCGTTCATTAAAATAGATGTGCAAAAAATGGTTGAGAAAGAAGACACTGTTATATGTGTGCAGTCTTTGGTATTCTGTGTGTATTAAATATACGCTCTTTTATATACAGAATATATATACAGAATATTCTTCAATCACAATGAAGTGAAACGAGAGTGCAATAGGAATAGCAAACCACAGAATCGTAAGGAATCGTGTGAGCGATCGGAGAGCGCATGTATGGGCACAGACACTGAGGACTGTTATCTGGTCTACACCTGTACTCTATGTTATCGAGCGGACGGCTAAATCAATGAACACTAACTATATTGTCGTGTATTTTCTCATTGACTATTCAAAAGTCACTCAAATGCCTGCACTACTAGTATTAATGCCTAATGAAAGTATATGAGAAGTTATTTTTTCTAATTTACGGGAGGCAAAGTGCAAAGTTTTTATTTTATATATTTTATTTAATGTGCTTGTTTATCGGTTTTCCGCAGATTATTCTGGTAACGATTTTCGTGATTCTTATAACAAAGACTTATTAGTGGAAAGCCTTTTG